ATCATTTGCAAATTCTTACAGTGTTAACATACAATTGAGTGGATTAAATATGAGTTTGGGGCATTAACTTGGATATCACTAGTTTTGTGGACTAAATTCTAATAATTAGAGGGGCTGGTATTTCAGTATGTCTATGTTGCATTCCATATGCATTTGGGATTCTTTTGAGAGTTAGTAATGTTACAAAAACTGAAGGAAAAATGCAATAGTGAAGGCAGGCACAGGGCCAATTTAAGCCACATGCAGTTTGATCCAACACACTTTCTTGGGGCCACATTCAGGTGTGAGGAGCTCATATCAACCAGACACTTACTTTGTATGCAGTAGCATTCAGGCCAGGAGAATTGCTGATGGAGTGGAAGCTACTCAGCCTAGGCAGACCAAGCACAGGATTTAGGAAGAGACCTGGTCCCATCACTTGCTATTGTGGTTACTTCCATTTGACTACACAACTCTTACCTGATCTAATCAAGGCACAAAGTCTCTCCTTGGGCAAAGAAATCAAAGGAATCATATGGCCACATATTCTGATGTCTTTACAGTCTTCAATCTTATCATAATCTCTTCACATGTTATCTACTGACTGCCTGCATTTAAAGCACATCTGATGCTATTACTGAGTTTTCTCAATTAAAAATGATTGATAACAAATTGAATGACAATTCAATTTTTTTCTAAACAAGAGAAATATCTGTATTTTCTAATTAAAAACTTCAAATGTTGTTGTTGTATAACAGTGCCAAAATTAACAAAGATACATAAAATAAATCCAATTACTAAAGACCAACAGAATGAAACTCAAAGACAAGATGAAAATGTATCATTATAATGTTTTATTGTGTGTGCATACTGCACACAATTACCTCATAAATTTCTAATCTAAATCATCATAAGTTTCTATGTCATGTGTTCCAGTGTTAAGCGTCCAGGAATGGAAATTTAAGAGTTAGCTGAGTGTTCAGTTGTCTTTTGCCTTTCGAACTCTGGAAATCTGCATGGTTCAAGATCCTTCTGTTAGCTTTCAAGAAAAAGGGAGAATTTTTGCCATCTGAAAGGTGAGAGGAGATAGCATATTTTAGCAAGCCAGAGGTACAGGAGTCACGGTTATTTGGCAGCTCTTTTACTCCTCCAGAGCAACCGGTTTAGACTCTCCACAGCACCGCTGTTTTGGGCGGAAGGTTCTGCATTACCATTTACAATGCTGCCATCTATTGACGTCCGCCGGCTTTTATAAGAGCCCTCAGCAACTTCTTGCACTTCTATTGTTTTTCTCAATGGGATTTATCTGGCTAAACATACACACCTGCAATAAACGCACCTTGTGAGAATTGCCTCAGGCTTCCTCGAAAATCAGTGGAAGAAGAAAGCACTTCTGGGGTGTGATTCATTTCTACCCAAAGTAGATAACCAACATGTATCAGATGAACAGCACCCAAAAAGCATTACTGTGCTTTGCCCGTGGCTAAAATGGTATCTGAAGAGTGACTAGCTCAGGTGTAGTGATCACTGTCAGACTGTAAGTAAGCACATAAAGACAGCAAAAGAAATGCCACCCCCTTATGCAGTGGGGAAAGGTTTCAGAGATGCTGCTGATTTTTAATTCATTAACTTGTATCCATGTTCAGTGAGGCCACAGGCACTACATAAGAGACATGCTATCTATCTACATCTAACTTTGAATAAGAGTAATGTCATTTGGTGTAGAAGTCCATTTCCACTTCTTATTTTCTTTGGCAGTAAAATTTTCTTTAAGATATTTCTACCTGTCCCCCAACTCAGCCTCTAGTAGCCTGTCCCTCAGAAAGCTAGAAGTGATTAAGAGAAGTCTCACATGTAGTTTCCCGCACACAAACACATGCACACATTTCCTCCCTTCCACCACCCTTCCCCACCCCAACCCCCCCTTAAATTTTATGAATTGTAGATTCAACTTATACAAGAGCTAGACCTAAGCAGGACCTGTTTTAATCCAAACGTGGAATTTGCACTACGGTTAAAAATCTGCTACAAATAATGTAAAATATGATTTTGTCTTAATAAAGGACAAGCAGAGTCAATACTTTGACCAGTCAATAACTGATACAATAACAGATGCAAACTTCTTGAACAGTGACACAAGAAAAACAGGTTACTGCTTACTTTCCAAATTCCTGTCATGGCCCCCTGTTCTGGAAACTTCCACCCTTTCAGATCTGATGACCAGAATGCCGTTTTCAGCTTATATAAGCAGTAAAGTGTGTTGCAGATCTAAACTTTCTATACTTTTTTACAGAACTCCAGTGATTAAACTCATTGCCTCCTAAAGAATTCATTAATTAAATTAATTGGCTAATTAGTGAATCAGAATAGCTGACAAAGGTATTCTAGGATGTTCAGACTTCACAACTTCAAATGCTGCTTCTCATGAAGAAATTTTCCTACTCTAATAGCTGGTCTAGTCTAACATTTCATTCTCTTGCCAGGAAACATTTGCCAGCAAATAATGTCCTTATTTTCAGCCTACTGGAGCAACACTGAAAGCTGCAGGGAACACAGTCATGGCAGAAAGTAGTTCCAAAGGGACATGCTGCATTATGGGACACCATTGAGAAAACTGATCAGTGAAACCAAAGCTCCCCTGTGATGCATCTGGCACCCAACCTGCAAGAGAAGATCTCATGTTGGAATCAATAGGAGCTACATTTCCCTCACCAGCACTAGCTTTGAGAAACAAACTGCAGGAGTACTCACTTCATTCCAGACCCAGATTACATTTTTCATATTTCATGGGTGCAGAAGAAAAGTATTTACAAATCAAAAATTAATGTGAGACCTTCTCTACTGTTGGGTTGTGTGAGGGCCTACATAAGGATGTCGTCTTTAAAAGCAAACTTTTCTTCCAGGTTGCTTCTTGTCCTCTAATAAAGTAGACTTCAAACTCATTAAATATCTACATGAGTTTCAAGGAAAACACAGCTCTTGGAGCAGGAGATATTTTGTGGACTAAATGATTCAGAAGTGATCAAGTGAAAGTGATCAGGTGAAACACAGAGAAAGAAATCAGTCTTCAGCAGGCAGGAAGTTCAAAAAATTTATATAATCAGAGGTTGATTTAATGTGATATATATGTATATCTTAAAAGACATATATATATATCTTGTAAGATAGATAACTTTTTTTGTTTTTCTGGACAATAACTGTGAAATCACAAATATGTCTAAGTAAGGCAGGTAGAAGGGAATAAGTAGGAAGCAGTGAACAAAGAGAATTTTAGAAGTAAGACTATCCTAAAAAAATAGTCTTTAAAACTGAAATATTACAAAACTAAGAACAGTATGATTCCATTTGCAAAATCTACATAGTGTTACTTGAAGTCTTTGCTTGAGACTGATAACGTTAATAAAACCAACACACGGGCCAAGACTTTGTGTAGTGTGCCTTGATGCCTTTCTCCCACACAAAGTACAGCAGTCCAGCAATAATTCATGCCTTCATTTTAATATATATGTAACATAAGAATCGCTTCACTGAGTCCAACCAAAGGCCATGCTCATGTGTTACAGCCCAACACGAATTGCCCAGAGAAGGGCACAAATGATGGGGTTGCATGGTCTGGTGAGAGAATTGTGCTATTCAGTACAGTACAGCTGAGAGGTTTATTGATCATGAATAAACACAATAACATTATGGCACCTGTGAGGAAAGGCTGAGAGAGCTGGGTTTGTTCAGCCTGGAAAAGAGAAGGCTTAGAGGTGACCTAATTGCAGTTTCCAGTACCTGAAGGGAACTTATAGGAAAGATGGGGCAAGACTATTTACAAGAACATGTAGTGACACGACAAAGGAGAATGGCTTCAAACTGACAGGGTAGGTTTAGATTAGATATTAAGAAAAAATTCTTTACTGTGAGTCTGGTGAGGCACTGGAACAGGTTGCTCAGAAAAGTTGTGAATGCCCCATCCCTACAAGTGTTCAAGGCCAGGTTGGATGGGGCTCTGAGCAACATGGTCTAGTGAAAGGTACCCCTGCTCATGGCAGGGGGCTTGGAACTAGATGATCTTTAAGGTCTCTTACAAATCAAGCCAGTGTATGATTCTATGATCCTATGATTCTATGCTAATAGCAGACAAATTTAACAGAGATAATATAAAATGCTACATGAGGGAAAACACAATCACTGCTCCACTGGCCATGACAGGTCCCCAGAGGGCTGTTCACACACAGTCCTATGAAAATACTAGCTCAGTTCAAAACCTGAACAGAAAGTTTAGAAATTAATGAAGGAAACAAATAATAACCAAAGGGTGAAGTATGACAATGCCACAGTTCACCCAGGTTTTGAGATGTAAAGCACTGTACTCGCTCTGGGACTAGAGGCAGGAATGAGGGGTTGGGTAATGAGGGGCAGCAGGAGCTCACAGCTTGTCCAGAGAAGGGCAACGAAGCTGGAGAAGGGTCTGGAGCACAAATCCTATGAAGAGCAGCTGAGGGGTCTGGGGTTGTTTGGCGTGGAGGAGGCTCAGGGATGACCTTATTGCTCTCTACAACTGCCTGAAAGGACGGTGTTGCCAGGTAGGGTTGGCCTCCCAGGCAACTATGAGAAGACAAGAGGCCATAGTCTTAAACTGTGCCAGGGGAGATTCAGGTTGGACCTTAGGAAGAATTTCTTCACAAAAAGGATCATTAGATGCTGGAACGGACTGCCCAGGGAGATGGTGGAATCACGATCCCTGCAAGTGTTAAAGGAAAGTTGGACGTGGCACTTGGTCTCGTTGATATGATGGTGTTCGGTCACAGGTTGGGCTCGATGACATCAGAGGTTTTTTCCAACCTAATTTATTCCGCGATCCCGTGATTCTGTGAACTCCCAGTGCCATCTCCGTGCGGGGCAAGCGGCCCCACGGGGCACGTCCGTCCCCGCGGAGGCGGCTGCGGGTCCGGCGGCGCCTCGGCCCGCACCACGAGATGGCGCCGCGGGGCCGGGCAGCGGCCGGGCGGAAGCGGCGGGGGAAGCGCCGCTCGGCCCCGCCGGAACGGAGGGAGGGAGGGAGCGCTGGAGGCGGCACCGCTCGGCTCCCTTCGCCCGCCAGAGCCTCAGGCTGCCCGGGTGGGTGCGGGGACGGCGGAGGTGTGGCGGCAGGAGCGGGAGAGCCAAGGGCTCGGTGGGGAGGTGTGAGGTCGCCTAGCGGGGCGGAGCGGCGCTGGCTGTGGCACCATGCGCTGGCTGTGGCACCATGCGCTGGCTGTGGCACCAGGCGCTGGCTGTGGGACCATGCGCTGGCTGTGGCACCAGGCGCTGGCTGTGGCACCGTGCGGTGGCTGTGGCACCTGTACGGGCGTGGGGGCTTTTCCATTCCTTTTCTCTGCAGCACGTCGTCCCCGGGCCCGAGGCGGCGGTGAGAGCGCTCGGGCGAGAGCGCTGGGGCCGGGGGGGCAGCCGGGGCTCAAGGCACGGGGGGCGCCGAGGCACAAGGCCTGTGCTCCTGCCACCCCTCGGGTATAATTGTTTGCCCTGTTTGCAGAGGCGAGAGCTGCCCATCGCTTCTGTGAGCCTTAGAGTCAGTGGCCAGAGTCGGGGCATGACCTGTGTGCCACCAGGAAATGAACTATGCTTTCAAAAGGAGTAGTGGTGAAGTTTCATCCTTTTCCTCATTTATGACTAAACTTACCAGCCATACACGAAACATAAGCTTACTGGGACTACTGATAATTGTACAGCTTTAGCACTTTGCTTTTGGCCTCTGAGTTTTGGCCCAAATAGCTTTTGGGTTTATGTCCTGGAGCTCAGAGAATAAAGACCCTCTTTTGGGTAGCCACCGATGATAACACTGTCTCAGCCTCTGCTCAGGCCAAAAGAGCCATACTAAATACACTAAAGTCTAAAAACATTACTTTGCTTTATGTGTAATTTGTGTCCCATCCACAGGAATTGCTACTGTTGTTGTAAGGACCCTGATGTGGCACCACTGATGTGAACATTCTAGTGATAGGTGGGTCTTCATAGCACTCCTGTTGGGATGAGGAGCTGTAACTGTACTGTAAGTGTTGGACAAGTCTTGGATTTACAACCATTTCCAAACAAGTATGCGGTGTATAGTGTTGGGAATTTCTACCTCTTTTTTTTAAGGGATATAACTTTTGCTACCAACTGTCTTGGCAGTTACAGGCTTATATTTCTCTGTGGCTGTAACTAGGGCGCTTTGGTATTAAAGTTAACGTCATAGACTAGCAATGCACAGTATTAATCTGAAGCACAGGATGTCAAACTGCTTTTCAGACATTTCCCTCTTCTGGTAGTAATTCTGCACCAAGAGTAAGCATCAGAAGTATGAAATTAAATAGGTGTTTATGGGCGGATGCTCACATTTTGCTGAAGTTAGGAGGAACGTGCCTGAAAAAGTAATTCCTGTGTGCATATTCAAGTGTCATGCTTTACTGAGCATCTCTTACTGCCAGAAGCTGGATGCTGAGTTAGGGACAGCTCTGGCCTGACACAAGACAGGTCTCATAGCAGGGACAAAAGCAGCAGTGGGCTGAGGGGGTGATCAGCTGTCTCTTGTTTGAGGCATTTCTGATTCAAACATAGTTGGTGTTTTCAGGAAAGCTTTGTGTAAATGTGTTTTTTCTAAACCTGCTGAATTTAATGCCAGCTTATCATAACACCATGCAACAGGTTAATTAATTAATCTTTCATTGATCAGTGTTGGAATAGTTGAACCCTCACTAATCCCACACTGGGCTGTGAACTGTCCCTGTCACCTCCAGACCACATGGCAGCGCTAGATCCAGCACACCAGTAGTCCCAGAGCGGGACTTATTTACCAAGTTATAAACCCCAGTGTGTCATGGTTGTGTCTCACGATATGACAGTCATGGTCTCAATTTCTGTTGACTCCGAGGGAATTAAATGCTGTCATTGCTTTGATCAGATTTGTTTATTTTCACTGATGCTCACCTGCCTCAAGCTGGCAAGGGGACAGGCATGTTTTGATGAAAGGGAGTGAATCCCTGATTAATTATCAGTGAAGAAATACTTTAAAAATGTGAAAAGGACATAAATAATATTAATTAAAAAATGCCATCATTAGTGAGTGGCATAGGCAGACAAATCTCTTTCTCATTTTAAATTCCACATTTGCTGGTGAGTTTCATATGTTCAATTGCTTCAATATTTTATTTTTAAAAGTGGAAGTTATAGAAGTAGACGTATCACATTTATTTTCTGCTGCTTGTCATGTTTCTTATTTTATGTAGTTTGTTTTGGAAGAGTAATTCAGCTGAAAATAAAACAAACTCATTCTTTAATTTAGTGTCCAGGCTTGCAGCATTGTTTTTCTCTGCTTTATATTTGTAGTCTAATGTTTCATAAATTATTTATGACAATAATTAAAGTTTCTGTGTTTGGCAAAACAGGTTTTTCCTATTTGGTAAACTAATATAGCTGGATATTTTTACCAGGGTTTTCCCCCTCCTTCCTTTTCAGAAAGCATATGTACATGTTGGGTATTAATAATATTAATAATATCAGACTTCACCACTTACTGCTTTAAAAATTGTAGTTACATTAAGCTTGAACCTGATTTCTGTTTATGCTGAAGCTATTTCAAAGAATTTTTTGTCATGTAGGAATTAGAGTGAACGTGAAAGTTAAACACGTACTTTTTCTGAAATGGAAAATGAAAGAATTGGCTACATGGGCTTAGGTTTCTAAGTATGAGAAAAAGACATTATGGCAACCTTTACAGCATCCAGATGTGTGTGGGAAAGAGACAAAAAGTATATGTGTACATCATGAGAGAGTGGAGATAAAAGTTTTGAAGAGGGTTATTGTTAGAAGTGAGATGTTTGAAATGCACAAAGAGGGATGGCACAGGAATCTTTTATGCATGTGTGGGTTTCAAGTGTTATAAGTAATCAAAGTGTTTTGCGATGACCTCAGTGCTAGGTTTCCTTCTTCCTCCAAGCAGGCAGGAGAGAATAAAGTGAATTCACATGCTTTGGTTGCCTGAATCAGATTGACTGGATCTTCAACCTTTGCTGGCGTGAGTTGTCCCATCAATTGCAGTGCAACTGCTCATGTATGTAGAGCTTCTTGTAGATAGGTTGGTGTTACTGGGGATTTATGAGTTGGAGATTAATGTGGGCTTTGGAAAGGACAGTAATTTGCCTTTTTGGTTGCTGCATGATTTGCATTTTGTTTGGATATAGCCCATCCCATTCTCCTTTCACACAGTCTGGCTGCGTGAGGCAAAAACCCGCTCTTTAATCAGTGTTGTTACATATGAGGCCGAACACAACTGGTGTATGTACTGTATTCATAATCATTTTGAAAAATCCTAGTTTTATGCTCTTATAAATCTACAGCAGTTTTAAGTGCTGTCTTGGCTGTATTCCAGTGTTTCTGGGAATAGTATTTGACCATTTCTTAGGGGTAGCAATAGGTAGTTTAATGTATTGAGTTTCTTTTACCTTTCACTGGCACTCACCTACCAAAGTTCAAGTTGAGGGTGAGAGAAATATCAGGAGAAATATGTGGATGAAGCAGCTAATGTCTTAAAATAATAAAATAATTGCCAAATAGGGAGGGGATCCAGAATGTTTCTCAGTGATTCATACTGGTAAATCACAGTGAAAATGTTGGTAATTAAAAATCCTGCCTGATGGTTATGGATGTCATGCTCTCCCTCTTTCCTCCCCCTTTTTTTCCCCTCATCTAGTTGCTTCTCTCCTTTTCCTCACGTTTAAAAAAGGTGGCTGTAACCTGAATTGACTTGTGTTCTCTTTATGGGAGGCAGGATCAGGGGCTGAATGTGAGATAAGGGAATGTATGAAGTTATAAGGAAGTTATAAGGAAGTGTATGAAGTTATAAGTGCACCACAGGTTTAAACAGAAATCTATTGCTTGAGTGGAGTGAAGATAGGTTGAAACATTTAATGTCAATTGCTTCTTTTATACAAGTCCCTGTGCAGACACCGTGAAAAAGGGAGAATAGTGTGTTTCCTTCAAGTATATAATTTTTGTTTGGTATTAATTTGGAAAATAAAGGTTGTAGAAGCATGAAGTGTGGGAGAAAAGTAGAAAAGAAAAAGGTAATGGAAAAGTGTTCAGTCCTAGTGTTTTAGGCTGCATTGTTTAGAAGGTTCTCTTTTACCTTTCCTTACAGTAGTGGGTAATTTTAAGGAATGGGATTTTTACTGATGTTAATCAAAATATATAAATAAGAGACTTCAACTAGCCACAACAGAGAAGGTAAGTTTAATAGTTGTAGGCCATAGGACTCAAACATAACAAAACTATATTCAGTGCCTATGGCAATCTTAATACCTATATTACGAATTTAAAAGCTACTGTTTTCTTTTCTAGTTCAACTTGATCATCACCAGGACAAACTCTACAAGAGATGGTAAGAGGTCTTTATGGGTTTCTATGTGATAGCTTAGTCACATTTTATATACAAAATGCATATAAACACTTATTGAACTGTGAATGCAGACATTTAAAAATCAGACGTGAAAGTAGCTAAATTGCTTTGAAAATAGAATTCAGATTACAACAATGAGTGATTTGTCTACTCCTTGGAAGACTCCAGAGACATAAGGGGAAAATAACAGAGGACTCTGATCATTTGCCTTAGATTTATAGCTTTTGTTTCCTTGAGGAAATCTCTTATTTCCATTTATTCCACAGCTGAAAAAGCACAGACACAGAACTAAGTTAGACTAAAAGTATTCCTTTCCCTTTTCCACCCCAGTGCAAAACATTTCTGTAATTTCTTTTTTAACAGATGTATTTTTAAAATGCAAATGTAAGAGGGTTTTCAAGGGTCACTTTCAACAAAAAAACCCACAAAAAGTAGCTGGATGAGCACCAGGATCACAGTTCTGTCTAAATGAACTGGCTTTTTGTCTTCCTTTCCCCTAAATTAACAACTGGAACTAGTCAGCTAGACAAGTCAACCAGCTGGATTCCAGAGCTTTCAGTAAAGTCATCAATGCCATTTTTAGAAACATTGTAAAAGAACTGGAGAAAATTTTTGAGCTTTAAAAGAATTTATTGTCTTCTTTGGAGGTATATAGAATGTAGGAGATACCTGCTTTTGTCAAGCTTCATGGTATTTCAAAACTGGATTTTAAAGTATTTTAATATTTAAAATAAAAAAAAAAAGACAAAATGTTTTAAAAGTAACCTGTGAATGTGTTAGATTTGATAACAGGACATTCTCATCTGTCTACTGAAGGATGAGGAGTCAGTGTGACATTCTTAAGCAAAGGGAAACTAATTAAAACATAGTTCATCCTAGCTTTTAGGTAGTTGGATGAATAAGAGTGAAGAAATTCCATATGGAAGGCAGATGCTTTTCTTGTACCCACTCATTTTGGGAATAAATAATCTAAACTGCATGGTCTGGGATAGCAGAGTAATGTTAGACCAAGAGGAGACTAACAGTGAAGTTTCAATTCCATGAATTCTTACTTTTCAGGAAAGATAAGTTGTCTCAAATAGGTTGTAATTTTTTGATCAGAAATATCTTAAGGAATTTAAGTTTGTTGTGGTGGTTTTTCTCTATGTACCCTGTTAGCTGAAGGTATTTTGTTTCTGAGAGTACTTAGCAATGACCTTAAAAAGAGATAGCATTTATAGATCTCTTTTGGGATAATGGGCTCAATTTTGCAGAAATGTGGCCGCATGGGAGTTACAATTATTATTCCAAATTCACTAGTATTTGCATTATTACCTGAGAACCAGAAAGTGAAAACAAATGTAAGTAAACTAAGTTAATCTCTCTTGATAGTGTTAGCGTTAAATGGAAAGTATTTCTTGGGTTTGTGTTTTCTGTTTTGCTTTGGGATTTTTTTTCCCAAAGAATTATTATTTTAAGACTACAGAATGGCACTGATCAAGAAAACAGACTTAAAGATTTTTGTCTCGTATGCCCTTTAAAAAAAAACCCACTTAATAAAGGACTGTAAATGTCACATTCATCTCTGAAAACCTCAGTTAATCTTGCCATAGTTTTGAGTACTTGCCAAATCAGGGCTTAATTAAAGTTTTCCAATTTGAAGTACAGGCTTTCCATTTTAGCCCAGATAAAAGATTTTCTGTGGAAATTAAGACGTGAGTAGGAAGGAAAAAAAAGATTTGCTGTTTAGTTTACTTTATGGCTTTCTTTTAAGATCCTCTATTATTGCACTTTTTGAGAGTAGGATAGAGAAGGGAGATGAAATGGCTTGTATGAGGGGAGCTTAAGGCTAGAGGGAATGTGGAGCTTTGTGCTTGCTGGTGAAGTGAAATCTGAACAGCATAAAACTGTTTTTTTCAGGAAAACTAACATTTGCTGGAAGACAGGAGAAGGTGTGTTACAGTATGTTTCATTCTGTGGAACTGTTTTTCTCCGTACTTTATCAGTGACACTTTATTACCTCTTTTCATGTTTTGGTTGCTGATGAGTACAAAAGGGAGATTTACTGGCAGCTTGCATTTGGCCAAATACAGTCTTGTTTTTGATCGAGGCCATGATGGATATATGAATTGTCTGAATTGCCATTTGACCTTTTCTGAGAAACTTTGGCAGGCAGAGGCAGGAAATATGTTACTGGATAAAATGAATGCCTTTGTTTAATATGGAGGAATTTTAATCTCCTGTGTTTTCTGTCTGCGGATTTGGAAATCAGGTGTGGGTTGTAATACCTACACCTTGGAATGATTCAGTTCTTACAACTCATGCGAGGGGCTAAGGAATTGTGGAATATATCCACACAGCACATTCCGTAAAAAGAACTGATTCCCACAGTAGTAGCATGAACACTTGGAAAATACGTTCTGGATACTACAGCTCCTCTATTACTAGTTCTTCACTGGTAGTTGTGTAGATGCCAAAACAATCTCTTGTAGGAGTAATGAAGTGTAGGAAGTAATGCACGTGCACTGTGTTACCGTTTTTCAAATCTGCATGTTTTATCATAGATAAAGGATGACTGGTAATTAAAAGGCAGAATTGTGTGTGCATTTACAGTGTTTCTCCCTTAATTATCATTTGTTTACTCTCTCTCTCTCTGTTTGTGGCTCTTTATTAAAAAATAAAGAGAGGGTTGTAATTTTTTTGTGGTCTTTCCCTCTCCCCCATGTTTTGGCCACAGGAGGACACCGAACCGTGGTATTCTCAGAAGGTGTACACGAGATACTGGAAGCACTATGACTTAGCCATGCGCTGGATGCGGAGGCACCAGAAAGCCTACAGGAAAGCCATTGAGTCCTTTTATCACCTACCATGGCATCCTCCTGCAGCTTCTCCAAGTAGCCACTACTCAGACTGGGATGGGAATGATCTCCTACATACCCAAAACTATTCTGCCCGGTATCAACCGCATGGCAGAGCTCCGTACCATGGGGGAGCTCAGCAGTGCACAGGTGCCCACCAAGGGAGGCAGGATGCTGAAGAAGACTCTGAAATGGAGGAGGATGCTGAAAGGGACTCCGAAATGGAAGAAGACTCCGAGTCTGAAGGGGAGATAGAATATGACTTGAGTAACATGGAGATCACAGAGGAGCTTCGCCAGTTTTTTGCAGAGACAGAGAGACACCGGGAAGAGCTGCGTAAGTCCATCCTTGTTCTGTGTTTTCTGGTATCTGATGGCCATAACATAGAGTGCTGGATGGCTTCAACTTTGCAAGAATTCACAGAAATAGGCACTGCAAGTAAGCATGCCAAGCAGAATGAAGTAGGCAAAACTGATGGCTGTGTTTCAGTACCATTTATTAGAAATAAATCTGTGAAAATGTTTGGGAGTTTTTTGGTGAGGGAGAGAGGGAGAATTACGACTGCAAAGAGGAGAATAACACTTTTGTTCAGAAGACAGTAAGTCTTCAGCATTGAAGAAAAAACACCAGTATTTTTATGGTTAAATCTAGTTAACATGCTATATTTCTGAGAGGAGAACCCACAGGAAATGCTTTATTACATCACTGAACCCGAGAGTAAGCCTCAGTGTATTTTATAATGTGGAGCAGCCATTTTGTTTGTTATTCTTTGGCTAACCCGACAGTAAAATTTCATGACCCTTTTCTTTTCCCCCTGCATCCTCTTCATTCTGTACTGTACCACAAGTTTTGTTTCACATCTTGATCTGAACCCAAGTCCTTTAGCAGGGATTGTAAGCCAAAGGCTTAAGATTTTTCTCAGGTTTTGATCCTCAGAGGTATTGGTCATCTTTTTTCTGTGAAATCCTTAAAAGAAATAAAGGATTATACTGCACTTTATTGGCACTTTACTCATATACAGATGTTACAGGCAAATTTATTTTGCTCTTTTAAGAAAGCAGCATGATGAAAATAACTTCACACATGACTCCAGTAGTAAATGCCTAGAATGAATGCTTAGTAGAGCTTTCTCTGAAAGAGAAAATGTTCTGAAAAGGTATAATAAAGGCAGTGATTGGGAGGGAAAGACAGAAATGGTTTTAAGTTCTTTGATCAGGGGGTATCCAGTGAGTTGAAACAACTGCAGGCTAACTTCACACTTCTTTCTCATCAGTATGATGCTCAGTTGATCTGGTTAGCAGAGGAAAGTGAGTTAAGAAACTCCATTGTAGTGCCTGACATGAATCCCTTTCTCATCATGCTTTTGCATAATCAGCTTGGTGTTCTCTGTTGAAACATTCCTTTGATGAGGTACATGATGCTTTAAGATGCTGGGCTGCTTCTGAAAATGCAGAACATTTTCTTTGGATTTATTTTGATTGTTATAGGTTTGTGGTGTTTAAAGGTATGTGAGTGATTAAAGTGATATACTGGGAATTGGGAAATCTGGGCTCAGAGATGTTCTCTGTTGCAAATATCCTGTATGACCTTGGTATAGCTATTTAATCTCTTCCTGACCCCTTGCTGGCTGCTCTTGCTAAAAATATGATTTGGTTCTTTGTGATGAGCAGGTGAATTGGGAAGAGGTTTGTGACTCAGAATACAGATTTTACTGCTGTTCCTTCCACCACAGCAGTACTTGGAGCCGTTTGGAATGATTAGGTCTCTGCTGTGTGCTATGGAGCAACCTAGTTCTGGATAAGTGTAACTCCATTCACCTCAGTGTCACTGTTGCAGATCTTCATGCAAATTTAAGTGGGCTCTGGTCTTTAGCTACTGCACGCCTCAGTTTCTTCAGTAGCCTCCCTGGCAAAGAGAGGATAGTACTAAGTAATTGTCTGTAATTCCTCAAAGCAGGAAAAAGTAAACAAGTACTCGATTTAATTGAAATTTAGAAGTGCCACAGAAGTCTTGGTTGAATGGTGCCATCTAAATGCTAATTTTGTGAGTAATTAAAAATACATTTTGATCTTGTTCAGAAATAATTTTTTGTGCATCGTGAGGGAAAAGGAAAATAGAATAAATTTTTTATTCTGTTGAAGTTTCTCAAAAACATAAGCAGCAAGGAGCAGGGGAGAGTCATTGTTTCCCTGATGGTGTGAAAGTGAGCTTGTGTGGAGTTGAAGGCAGTACTACTGTACTTCAAGAGATAGTTCTACTAATTTTTCTGGTTGCTGTTTATGAACAAAATTAAATTTAGAGGTTCATTGAGCTATGATCCATAATGATGCTATCATGTTGTATCTTTCATACTGTGTGCAAGAACAGTTGTCATTCTGTATTGATGTTTGAGAGATGGGGACAATGCATCCACAAAAGAAATCTGTGGTTACTTAAGTATTTTCTCCTTAATGCCTTTTCCTCTTAATCCCAAACTGCATGTCCTGGGCTGCCTCCTCTAATTTAGGAGCAGATTTGCAGAGAAACTTGGGCACTATAAATCTCAGTAATGCCTGAAATTTAGGCCTCCATGTCTGAAAGAGGCATTTGTAATCGTGAGTTCTACATATTCTTTAAGGAGAATGGAAATGTTTGGGTATGTCAAAGTGGAATACCAACAGAGATCTGGATGATTAGTTGAAGTATAAGCCAACTGTTAGGGAACATTAAGGGGAAAGGCTGTGCCTCATGTTTTCTTCCTCTGGCATAAATAAGGGACTCCAGGTGGAATTCACAGCCTTTGACCCCTGCACTTTGATATTCACTTGAGAAAAGACACCCAGCTTGCTCTTCCAGTAAAAGAAGAGTTTGCAAGAGTTTGATACGTGGTTATCTGCAACTTACATGGGTAAAAAGCAGCAATGGGACAAATAAGAGAATGGAAGTTGGCACATAAGGGAGGGGATACTAATCTTTGTGAAGGATAAGTTCTGTTAGTCTGGTGCTTTTCAAGCCCTGCAAAATTAGGAAATACTACACAGCGTTAATGCAGGTGTTTTGGACATGCATAGTGAGAGTCTGGATTTTCCAAGTAAGATATAGTTGGTTCCCACACATGATCCAAATCTCATCACCATGTAGAAGGATAATCGAGTAGACTAAAATGAATACCAGCTGATGTCCAACTCTTCAGTAACAATGCCTGATCTAGAGCCTGATGGAAGTGAATGTAATCACAAGCATCAGAGGATAAGATCTTGCAAGCTTTAACTTTAAAAAACTTATATAAGCCTGAGATGTAGGTGGGAATGAGATGACTCGAAGATCTTGGAGGTGTTTTCCAGCCTTAGAGATTGTATGTTTCTCTAGTTCTTGTGCCTGGATAGTGACATACAAGCCTTAATGCTAACTGCAGAGAGAGGAGTTTCAAAGATAAGAAAGCCATTGTGTCAGACTAACCAAAGAAGAAAACTTCAGGTTCATTTCATTTTTTGGTAAACGCCACGAACTTGAAGAACAAGCAGATTCCTTACTTTAGTAAGCAATTGCTTTGTTTTGTTTTCACAATGGGCATTTGCAGTGATTGGCTGACTTGCAAGGTAAGGGCTTTGAAATTGGCAAACTTGCTGCATGATTTAACACTTCCGCAGTGATACAGTTCACAAGCAACCTCTTTTAAAACAATCTTTTTTTTTGTCTTTGAATTCATGTCAAATTCTTACTAGTCTTTAAATTCATGTGGTGTTGCAGTCAAGTTACATGTTCCTGGAATGCCCAGAATTAATTGCAAACAAAGTTTTGCTGAGGCTGTATGAATTCAGACATATTAATGCACTACAAACTTATCTAGGTATATAGTGCATTTGGTTAAAATCCGTTACAGACAATTTTAATTCCTTTCCTCTTCAGCTGTGTCTTCATGCACAATCATAATTATATAGTGATTCTCCTTTTTTAGAGGGTTTTCTTGTCAGGCTAGTCTGTTGTTCTGGTTCTTTCTTTAACTGGGGATTCTAATAGACTATGCTCCTTGGGGATATCTTTAGTTGCATTTAAAAGTCTTCCTTCTGGCTGTTGGAGAGCATGAAGTTGTTATCCTGGGTTACCATGCCAGCTGAACCTAGGTAGGGTACCAAATTCTCCAGACATCCAGGATATAAAGGACAGAATGCACTAAATTGCCTTTTATATTTGCAAGAATTAAAAGGGTAGAGACCAAGAAAGGAAGCTTCACAAGCCTAACAATTCTGTAAATTTTCTAATTGCACATATTTATTACACTTTTAAATTTAGCTTTGCAACATGTAGTTTGTCCTCATGTAGTTTTTCTTTGTTCCCTTTTACATAAAAGAGAAAACACTGTAATTGGGTGAGTACAGCATTGTGAGTACATTGAGAACCATTCTGTAGTAGTTAACAGGAAACAAGACAGTGTCCTTTATTTAAAAACAAAGAAAAGGAAGGGAAAGCACCGTCATGTCAGTTCATTACTGAAGGATAATAGTCTGTCATTTGTTAATGCTCTGAATAGTTTTTTCCTTTAAAGCTCCTGTTTCTATTGCCCACACATACCCTCCAGCTTTTCCCAAAAATATTGTTGTCTCAACTTAAAATTTTCATACTAAATGGAAAACATTTTTTTAAAAAAACGAAAGGAAATGGTGAATGAAGATGTTTCTTTCGAAACTGCAGTTTGTAAGTTTTTTTCCCTCAGGTTTCTTTTTCTCAAAATTCATAGTTACCACTGCCTCTTTTGTGAAGAGGGAGTAATTTAATTTTCTGTGTTTTGAAATTTGTTTGAATTGTACCAGATCCGTGAAGCTTTTGGTTTTGTTTAAGGCCCATGTGCGGCTTTGGAAAAAAGACTTTGATTCAGGGGGTTTGCAAGTATGTTTTCCTTCTTTCCTTTCCTTTGCTTTTGGAAAATGTTTTGCCCTGTTTTGTCTTTTTCTCCATCAGACTGTAGCTCAGATTCTTGAACTACAGATTCCTGGTCTCCAGCATTTCTGTTTCTTCCTCCCTGCCCTAAGCTGTCCAAGTATTATGGATGGTGAACTTACAAATATCTGATCAACTTCCTTGGCTTTATCAGCCTTGGCTGACAAACTTTTTGACAACCAAAAACCCTGTTTGGCATGAACTTTCACCACAATCTTTAGAAGTTGAGTTGCTGAAGCTTCTGACAAATGCCTGTGAAATAAGAGTGCTCTCTGCAATGTGTGTGGGTGCTTAAGAGATGCTTTTGAAACACGTTTTAATGTGAATTGAAGAAGAAATATGAAAGTCGCTCCTTTTTTTACCACATCTCTGATCTTGATGATTGAACATTTTATTGTGTAGCAGCAGAATCTTCTCAA